CTGGGGGAGGGAGGAGAGAGAGAGAGAGAGAGAGAGAGAGAGAGAGAGAGAGAGAGAGAGGAAGGGTAAAGGTGAAAAGAAGAGTAAAGACAAAGGGAGAAAGAGGTCGTGTTGTTAATGCACAAAGTTCTCGATGTGTAGACAGCAATTCTAAAACTTCTCAGTTTCAGATAAGACTAAAATATTAGGCCATTGTCATAGTATCAGAGAGATCATAAGTCGCCCATTATAGTCCAGTGTGAGAGGCTGGGTGAAAACACACACTGACCCGGCCGTCCATTTTTTGCCAGACACACATGAATCAAACATCAAACCAACACAGGGCACAGAATATTCAACTGGGCAAGGTGAATTATACATCTACAGAGGTCGGGATCAGCCGGCAACAGGTGTGACCTGATAGAGGTCTTCTTTGATTTGAGTCTTCAGGTCTGGCTGAAGACTTCTTTCTGGCTAGACACTTCTCCACTCCTGCTCTTTTAATCTGTTGAACAGATGAGTTGGACCATGGAGACCTCTCATTTTCAATCACTCAATGTCAATTGGTGGATTTTTGCATTAATGATGCTCCATGAACCTTTTAACATACTTGTCAAACCTGAAAATGTTCAAATCGAGAGATTTTCCAAAGCAAAGTGAAAGGTCGTGGATTCTTACCTTAAATCAATACATTTTTTTCTGCATTCTGAAGATGTGAGTGAATAAATGTAAAACTTCTAATTACAAGTGAATAATCTCAACTGTTTTCACATTTTATTTGACACCTGCTGTGGTGAAATGTTAACCTCTTATATTACCGTAGGTATTGTGAGGATCATTCTCGCTCACATTCCTCAAATACTGAACAATAGACAGACTAAATAACATGAAAACAAACAGTCCACTCTGCGTTCCCAGCAGTTGGCAAAGTTGAAAACCACAGAGGTCAAAGATTTGCTGTTTTCTTGGCCAGTGTTTTCCCTCTAATCTGCTGTAGCTAATGGATGAAAGTGATTGCGTGCCTCATCACTATACACAAACTTAATATCTTATTGATTCCTCCACCCGCTTCTGCTGAGCAAACAAAATGCTAATTAGCAACAGGCTATGCACCTTTCCTTCTCCTTAATTCCAATTTAGCCTCACAGCAGTGTGTTGTGTGTGTGTGTGTGTGTGTGGGTGTGTGCTTCTGTGTGTGTACATGGTGCGCAGTTTGAGTGGTTAGGGGTCGTAAACAAACAAAAAAAAGCGTTGTTCCATTTAAGTACTCTCCCTCTGATTTTATTTCGCTTTTCTCTCCCTCTGCCCTTCACAGAGACAAATGGCTTTGCCATTCAGGAGTCTCCGTGGAGCGGGGCGGGCAGTTTGTTGTAAATGTGAGTGCTTGTGGTTTGGCCGGCCGCTGGGTGCTCGGTGGCTGTGAAATTCCATCACTTAGAAATTCTACTTTGGCCTCGACCCCAGGCCACCACAACAGCTCCTGATACAAGAACCCCCCCCCCCCCACACACACACATTACAGTGCTGCAATCTCGAAAGAAAAAAACAGAACATGGACTGACATACACACAGCCTTTCTCCCTACAGTAAAACCAAGAACCCAGAAAGTTGATAGCCAAACCAGAGGCAGCTGCCAAGGTCCCGACTGTCGGGGAATTCAACCATCGTGGCCAAGCTACATTTAGTCTCAGTGCTAGTGTGCCCTTGCTGCTTCATCAAAACAATCTCTTACAGCAGGCTCCTGGAGCTTACAATGGATTCACTGTTTATACATAGTTGTGTCAGTGTGTGTGTGTGTGTGTGTGTGTGTGTGTGTGTGTGTGTGGGACTATGTCTCCTCAGGGCTCTCACAAATGCTCCCAGAGTAGTTGTTGTGTTTGTGTCTGTATCTCTACATCCCTCTGTATCTGGCTGTGCTCAGCCAAGCATTGTAGCACAAAATTAAGTCCTGCTATTCTATAGGCACCCCAACGCCCAGAGGGAACCAGTACCATACCAACGAGCGTAGCTCGGGTGTACGTTAGGCAAAATCATGGCTCGGGTGTGGGTGACATATAACATGAAGGTTGGGGTCAAGTTATGGTTGAGCCCGGCGCTGCAGCAGCATCTCCCGACCTCAAGGTGTCAGTAGAGATCAGCCGGCGGGGGGCTGTCATGAGGGGGAGATGGATGAAGAGTGGATGAAGAGAGAGAACGCAAAAAAGAAGTAACATCGAAAATAAAGGCAAATGATTTGGCTGAAAGGTAGCGAAGTCAACACAAATGATCTAACTCTTTCCTGGAACTCCCCTTTTCTGTCTTTGCACACAGTTCTTAGAAATTGTAGTTGGAGGGAAGAACAGCCCAGAACAGAGTTTCAACAACAGATTCCTTCCATGCTGAGCTGAATGCCAAACCAACATCACTGCCATTGAATTCATCAGCAGAAACATTAGGGTTCAATTCATCATCTTCACTTGTCTATATTTTTGAGATGTGCTCATTACGGATGTTAGAATGATTGGGTTTGCATTATTCTGTATGTGTGTACATCAGGGGTGCAACTAATGATTATTTTAATTATTGATTATACTTTTGATTGGTAGATTCATTATTTAGTGATTAAAATTATTGAAAATAGTTAAATATGCACAGCATAATTTCCCAGAGCCCATTGTGATGCCTTGGAATTGCTTGTTCAGTTCAACTAACAGTAATGAAACCCATATATTATGTTTACATTGATATAGAACAGAAAAAAGAAGCAAATATGCTCATCGGAGAAGCTGGAATGAGCCCAATCAATATTATTGCTTGATAACTGACCAGAACAATAAATCAATGAATAGTTGCAGAATAAGTTTATGTCCATCAACTAATCAACAAATGTGCAAACTGTTTCAGCACAGGTGTACAGTCATTATGGCAGAGCATACATTGAATGTGTGTGAATTTGTTTGTGCAAACGGAAAAACAAGTACATGGTTCCTATGTAGACGATCAACAGTGCTAGGTGAACGTTTTTAACAGCTTACAAGAAGATGGTGCACTTACCACTGAAATATGTCCCAAATGTTTACAATACACTCCATGTTTATCTTCTCTCCCTTTCTGTGTCCATATTGCACTAATAGAGCAGACATGCTTGTCAACAGGATGTTAGTATCTTGCTGGCCTATTTTTTTTATTTTCATGCAAACACATTCTGTTTAACTTTGCAACACGATCTTATTTTTTCCTTTTTTCACATTCTACCTATAACGTTTGCGTATGCTTGGCATCCCAGAAATGTTTGTGACTTCAATATCTGCCATGCTGTGACAACATTACTAACTCCTGAGAGGCCATGTCTCTAACCTTCACCTCATCACAGTCCTCCTGTCACCGCAGCTATACGAGAACATGACAAAAATACACAAAAGTATAAGAAAAGGAGAAACAGAGTGAGAGAGGGCTACAGTAAGAGGACGGGGTAGAGTAGGGGAGGGGTACGTGACAATGAGTGAGTGAAAGCGGCAGAGGCAAAATTTATGCCCACACTTCCAAATCAAAGTGCTCCCTCAGCATATTCCTCACCTGCCAAAGTCACGCACTGCACTGTACGGCACATTACTGCTCATTCTCTCGCAGCTTGCCGAGAGGGGGGGGGGAAATTAAAGGATGTCAAACTACGATCAGCTCTGATAAATATGTAAATTACTGGAGAGAAGAAAAGTGCCTGTGAAAAACAACATAAATCTAATGGATTCTGAAGGTCAGTCGTGATTGTGCTGGTCAGCTCTTTCTGTGACAACAAGTCTCGGGAACTTGGGGTTCGATTCCATAAGTTGTGACATGATGTAATTGACTGAGATCGTCTTCATCATTCTTCTGCAGCAGGTACAAAGGGAAGCCCTGTCAAGAACTTCTTGGAGCATCATGACATATATTTTAAATACATTTACCCACTTTAAAAGTAAATTTGATTCAAGGAGTAAGAGGCATATTTAGCTTTTTCAAAAAAACATTCCATCAGTGTCCAAACTTTAAGAAATGGAAGGCTGAGGGGACTGAAGACTGGCACTAAACTGTAACACTATAGTTATCTTAAATACATCTTAAATTTTAATCCAGATGAAATATAGAATATCTAAACTCTTTGACACACTATGGGGAGAGACAATCTGCTATGCATTGCGACACACTGCGACCACAGTACACAGTGATACGATAAAAAACAATGTCACAGTGGCCACAGCTTTATAACACATTATTCCACAAGTCTCAAACCGAGGCCTCCTCCGCCCTCTCTCTGCTCTGTGGCTTTTACACTGTAATAAATTAGCCTCACTTTGGCGAGATGGCAACAAGACACGCTTGGCGTCCTGCTCGGTGCGTCATATCGAGGATGGGCGTGAGCTGTAAATTGTCACTGGCGTTGAATTTATACAGAGCCTTGGGACGAGATGCAGCACCGTGTATTGCCCAGCTGAGTGAGCCCCAACAAGCATCAAAGCCCCCCGCACCTCTTCACACCCCCCTCCGCTCCACCCGCTGACACCACCCTCCGCCACCTCAAGGACAAACAGCGAAAGAGAGAGAGGAAGAAAGAAAGAAGAAAAAGAAAGAATGAGAGGGATGGGGCTATATGCGCTGAAGTGTGGAGGACTCTAAAGAGTTTTATGATGCTATTTTATTTTTTGCCCAGGAATTGCCCAGGTCCCTGCCTTAAGTGTTAGTGTGTGCATGTGTGTTTGTTTGTGTCTGTATGTGCTGGACAGCCTGTGGCGTCTCTCAGATTTATTCTGCTCATCGTATTGTGGGGAGGCAGGGGCATTGTCAAGGCCTCCTAACACATTCATAAAGCATTCCCTGTCACTTCACACACACCACACATTACACAGCTAAACTGTGAGGTGAGGAGGGGAGGGAGAGAGAGAGAGAGAGAGAGAGAGAGAGAGAGAGAGAAAGAGGAGTCAAACATTGCTAATCGTCATAACATGGGGCCAAGGTGTTTTCTCTGAACTGACAAAGAAGGAAAGCTACAGAGAAGAGGATGTTTA